CCTGTGGGGCCACGAAACGTGTGAGGGGTGTGCCGAAATGGGTGTGCGGGACGCATGCGGACGGCAGCCATGGGGCCTTCGGTGGAGCTCCCTATGGGGCCACGAAACGTGTGAGGGGTGTGCCGAAATGGGTGTGCGGGACGCATGCGGACGGCAGCACTGGGGCCTTCGGTGGAGCTCCCTATGGGGCCACGAAACGTGTGAGGGGTGTGCCGAAATGGGTGTGCGGGACGCATGCGGACGGCAGCACTGGGGCCTTCGGTGGAGCTCCCTATGGGGCCACGAAACGTGTGAGGGGTGTGCCGAAATGGGTGTGCGGGACGCATGCGGACGGCAGCACTGGGGCCTTCGGTGGAGCTCCCTGTGTGAGGCCGACGAGCATGCGGACGTGTGCCTTCGGTGGAGCTCCCTGTGGGCCACGAAACGTGTGTGGGTGTGCCGAAATGGGTGTGCGGGGCGCATGCGGACGGCAGCTGGGGCCTTCGGTGGAGCTCCCTTGGGGCCACGAAACGTGTGAGGGGTGTGCCGAAATGGGTGTGCGGGACGCATGCGGACGGCAGCCATGGGGCCTTCGGTGGAGCTCGGGACGCATGCGGCAGCACTGGGAGCTCCCTATGGGGCCACGAAACGTGTGAGGGGTGTGCCGAAATGGGTGTGCGGGACGCATGCGGACGGCAGCACTGGGGCCTTCGGTGGAGCTCCCTGTGGGGCCACGAAACGTGTGAGGGGTGTGCCGAAATGGGTGTGCGGGACGCATGCGGACGGCAGCCATGGGGCCTTCGGTGGAGCTCCCTGTGGGGCCACGAAACGTGCGAGGGGTGTGCCGAAATGGGTGTGCGGGGCGCATGCGGACGGCAGCGCTGGGGCCTTCGGTGGAGCTCCCTGTAGGGCCACGAAACGTGTGAGGGGTGTGCCGAAATGGGTGATGACGATGACGATGGCGATGACGACAATGACGATGACGATGATGATGATGATGATGACGATGATGATGATGATGATGATGATGAGGATGATAGGAGGGGAGAGGAGGCGGAGGAGGAGGAAGGAGGAAGGAAGGAGACGCGGGGCACCGTCTCTTCAAAACGAGGACCCAACACCACAGGATGGTTGGGAAAAAACATTTCTTGCGTCGTATCCGCCTCTGGGACTGCGCCAACTGCGGCACCCTCCTGAACTGGCTTGTCGTTGTTGCCAGCTGTCGCCGCGCCCGCGACCGCGCCCGCGCCTGCCTCGGGCTCGTTTCTGCACGAAAGACCGCGCATCATGGACGAACACTGCGTGGGCTCTGTCGCGCTCGGCCTACACGACTCGGAAAACGTTTCTTTCTGCTTCCCCGGGCGCCTCGTTCGCTTCGCCCGCGCGCCCTCTGTGGAACCTGCGCCCCCCTCTGGCTGACGGCGGCCGACAGGGGCGCCATGCAAAGACGGAGACGCACCATCTACACCATCACCCGCCCTCGATGGCGCGCGCGTTGATGTCGACTCTCCGTCGACGCGGCCCAAAGCAACCTCGCTTTCCAGCGCCGGTTTGGCAACGCCGTCGTGGTCGACTGATTCTGCATGTCCACGGTTAGCTACACCCAGCTCGTGCGTAGCTTTTGCCGTGTCGGTTGTTGCTGACGACATTGGGAGTCTGTCGCGCAACGACAGCGGCCCCTCAATTGACGACGCCGTTTCATTGGCGGCATCTGTCGGCACGTCTGCTTCTATCGGGTGCCTGGAAAATACCACATTGGTAATGTCTCCCTGGTTCTTCGGATTCTCTGCAAAAGCTTGGAACTCCATCCGCGCAACTACGTTGTCGTCGAACCTTGCGACACCGACGCCGGGGCAGTCGAAGTAGGCGACGTAATGAGCTGGCTGCTCCAGATGGCAAATCGCGCCCTGGAAACGATATGTCCAGCCCGACGCCCCCGGCCACTCGAACGCCCTTGGCACGCTTACGCGGCCATTCACTCTGGTCATTCCGTCCGCCATTCTTCTGCGCAGCACCACAACAAGGAACCTTGCGGGCGTCTCCGATGGCACGTCGTGAGTTTGCGACGGGCCCTGGCACCCGCGCCACACCTCTCCGTCTTGCAAGGCGGGTCGATGTGGGCATGGCAAACCGTGCTGAGCCCGCGTGGATTCCAACGCCACCAGATGATCAAGACCAACTGGACCCAACATATCCGCATATTCCCACATTTGGATTATCATGGATCGTTCTCGTCTGTACACATCCGAAACCCAACCGCAGCCCCCGCCAAACCGCCTTTGACGGATTGTGTTTCCCAGTATAGACCCGTCTACCACCGTGTAGTGCTGCGCAAGGGTTCCCATACCCGTCAACGTACTCGCCTCCGCAGCACAGACAGCATCAACTAATGCGCTCCGCAGCTCGCTTGCGTCGCACTGGCGAGTGCCCCTAAAATCATTCGTGCGACCGCGCTGAAACAAGCCACCGCGCACCGCTCTCACTCCTGGAACTTGTTCGCCTTTATCTACAGGAAGGTCACCCAGGGATGCGCCCATCAGATCCGCCTGCTGTGCTAACGCACAAACTCCGCACTAATGACACCGTCGGACGCTGCATCCGCGTCGACGATGCAACACTGCGTGCCGAATAGGTCCCAAACGCAGCAACACTTGCATGGCGGCGTTTGCAAAACACGAATTTCCAATGTTCCGCATACCCTTTATCCGATGTCGAGCGCACGCCCAGGCCCCGTAGAGATCGTAGAAGTCACTGCAGCGCAGATCCAAGAGATCGTAGAATGACGGAGGGCAGATCCAAGAGATCGTAGAAGTCACTGCAGCGCAAATCCAACAAATGCTTTCGGAGCGTAGACGAGTTATATTTCTGCAATGCTTTGCCCCTTCTTGACGAACGAGCAGCACACACCCATGCCCACAGGGGGGGGAGCCTGAGGGAGGAGCACTCGCTATTGCTGTGGGTCCGGGCCATCGGATCCCGGGGGGGCTCCCGTTGGAGCGGGCGCCCCCCGCCCGACGACACGCACCCCTGGCTCCCTCCGTCCCCCCTGTGGGTATGGGGTGCGTCTTATTCGTCCGTCAGCTCCTGCCGCCGCCAGCGTCCTCCTGCTCGCCGCCCGCGCCGCCCGCGCGCCCGCCACCGCCGCAAGCCGCCGCGGCGGCCGCGGCCATCCGCGCGAAGGCGCGCTCGACGGCGCGCGGCGGGTGCCCGCGCGCCCGCGGGGCGGGCCAGGGGCGCAGGCCTCTCAACGGCCGCGGCGTGGCCCAGGGCAACCAGCTGGCCGTCAGTGGTCGCGTGGTCAGCGGCCGCTGCAGCGCGGACGCGGCCGCCAGTCACCCCCGCACGGAGCCCAACCCTGAAGGCCCGCGAGCGAGATGCAGTCGTGGTGAGGCCCGGAACACCCGGAACTCGGCACACGGCCGCGGGAAGTCACCGCGCAGCTCGTGGAGCGAAAAACCAAAACGTTCCCTGACGATATGCATCCGGCTTCTTCATATACGACACACTGCACACACCAAAAATATGAAACCCGTTCTGGGCATGAACTGACAATTCTCTCCTTTCACAGCCGTTTATCTTCCCTCTTCCAGAGCCTCCCAAGACACCCCCAACTGGTCCCAAGAGGCGCCCGAGAGCCTCCAGAGAGACCCCCAACAGGCCCCAAGAGGCCCCCGAGAAGGATCCAAGATGCATCCGAAGAAACTCCGAGAGGCGTCCAAGAAGCAACAAGCTATTCTGCTCGCCATTTTTCTCTTCATCCACTCCATCCGCATCTTCCTCATGCTCCATCCTCCCCCTCCCCCTCCTCCTTCCTCACATGCTCCTCCTCCTCCTCCTCCTCATCCACCCCCGATTCCTCCTCCATCCTCGCCTCTCGGGTAAGACGGGTTCTCCCCCCACCCCCCTCCTGGGGATCGCAAGAGTAGTCCGACGACCCCTTGGGGGTACCCGGCGTGTGAGACGGTTGCCCCCGCCCATTTCCCCTCCCCCGCGGAGAGTACAGTCGATTCGGATCGGCCGGCCCCGACCAACTGCAGCCGGGGGGAGTAAATTGCTCCAGAAATTCTGCTGGAAGGCGCCCGACGGCGTCGACATGACACCCTGAAGCTCCAAGACAGCCCAAGATGGCGTCCAGCTGGCCCCAGATGGCCCCAAGCCGCATCCAGGTGGTCTCCAGACAAAGCAAGAAACGCCAAAGACGACCAAGAGACTCCCAAGAGGCCTCTCAACCGGGCTTCAAGAAGCCAAACTAATTGATTTGCCTAAGCTTTGTAAAGTGTTGGGCCTTCTTGCCTCTTCGAATTTCCGACGGCACGAGCAGCCCAAACAGGCGCCCAAGACCGCACCAAGAAGGCCAAAGAGAGTCCCAACAAGGCCGCAAGAGATCCCGAACACAGGCCAAGAGCCTCCCAAAACGGCCCAAAAGAGACCCAAGACAGTCCGAACAAAGGCCTAAGACAGCCCAAGAGGCGGCCAAGACGGCCCAACAGAGCCCCAGAACGCCACAGGAAGCACCAAGAGGCCTCTAAGAGGCACCACGAGGCCACCAAGAGGCGCACACGAAGCCGAAAAAGACACCTCTGAGGCACAAAATCTGCTTCAAAACGAGCTCCCAAAGGCACCGGCACCGACAACATGAGCGAAGGCGACGCGCTGCGAGCCCCCCCAAGGGGTCGGCGGTGTGGCGTAAGCCCAAGAATCATTTGGTCCGGCCGCGCCTCAGCCACAGGAGACTTTCTCTTGCCCGCCCGCGCAGCTTCGCCTCGCCCGCACGCACGGCACGCACGAACACGAAACCGAAATCGATTTCCCAGTAGGGGGGGCTCTCCGTTCCACTTCGATCTCACCCCCTCACCTCCGATGAACATTCCTCCTGTAGAGGGACACGCCCGACATAAGGATAAGCCTGAGGGAGGAAGACGAACGCGAGCGACCGCTGCAAGAGGAAGAGGAAGAGGAGGGAAGAGGAAGGGGTTCAGGGCAAGGGGAATGGAAGGCGCCTGGGAGGGGGGGGGCATCTCCTCCGGCGCCAGCCCGTCCGCGGCGTACTCCCCCGCCGCCGCAGAGGCGTCGGCGCCGTCGGGCGCCTGCCAGTCCGCGACGTAGTCCTCGGCCGCCGCGTAGGCGTCGGCACCGTGGACCCGCGCCTCTGCCGCCTCCGCAGCTCCGTAGGGACCGAGGGCGTCGGACGCGTCGGCGCCGTAGGCCTGCTCCTCCTCGTACACCGGAGGCTCCGCCGCGGCAATGGCGACGTCCGCGTCGTCCGCGGGGTCGTCTGCCAGCGGGCCCGCCGGCAGCGGGCGGCGGGCGGCGAACAGCTCATCGGCCTTGAAGGAGCGCACCCTGCTGTCATCTGGAGCTATCTCTACCAGCTCGCCGGTGTCCCTGTCTTTGACCCAGAATTCGTCGATTGCGCTGAACACGTCGCTCACTACCCCGAGGCGGCCGTCGTCGAACTCCACCTCCATGTCCTGCTCTATCTCCGCGGCCGCCAGCGGCCTCGTGGGGCGATTGGAAGAGGGCACGGTTTTCCAAAGGCTCCTAAGAACTCTGGGGTAATTAGAAAGTCCCGCCTCCCGACGAGGCGAATTCATCCCACCAGCCCTCTGGGCGGAGGGGGGCGGTTCCAAGCTGGGGCCCCGCAGGATGAGCCCCACAGGGCAGGAAGGGGCCCCAGCTTGAATTTACATCGTTTGATGCCACCCGTCCTCAGGGCCCCATCCCTCGGGGCCCCATCTTTTCATCGCCGACCCTCCTCATCCTCCCCCTCCCCCGCCAACATCCCACTCCCCCTGCGAGGCCAGATCCCTGCGACAGGCGGCGAGCCGCCCCACTGAAGCCGACCTGGAGGCGCCGCTCAAATGGGCCGTGCTCGCGGCCTCACCATGCCAACATTAGGTCGGGCATGTCCCCCTACAGGCGGATTATGGGCGAAAAATGAGGTATAGCAAGAACATGCTCAAAAATAGTCAAAAACTCATCGAAAAATCGTCCCCAGACTATTTTTGGATTTGAAGACTCCTCCTGAGGGACAGGCCCGACCTAACCATCCCAACACCTGCCCAGGCCACCGATCCACCGTCCCCTGCTCCGCCTCGCATCCCAGGGTGGGCAGAGCCCCACCCTTAGCAGAACACCCGTTCGTGAAAGCTTCCAGGGGCACTCCACGTCCCTGAGATCCTGGCGACTCTATTTTTTTCAAGCCGGGCGTTTTCGCTCCATTTCGGGCCCGGGAACCCCCACAGATCGATCCGGCTCGAAAAAGGACGCAGAAAGATGGGGTCCGGGGGTCTGTTTTGCAACGTCGGATCTCAGAGGTGCGCACGGCACTGCGTTCCGAGTGCACCCCAGCGGGGTAGCCCAGCGACGTCCTCCCAAAACAACCAGACATGTCCGGCGAACCGCACGTCGATGAGCGAGTCCGACCGGGGACTGCACTGGCACACTCGAGTGCCATACATGTCGCGTGGACCAGTGCAGATTTCCTCTGTCGACTTGTCGTGTGGAGGGGAAAAGGATGAGGATGAAGATGTTGATGATGATGATGATGATGATGATGATGATGATGATGATGATGATGATGATGATGATGATGATGATGATGATGAGGAGGAGGAGGAGGAGGAGGAGGAGGAAGAGGAGGATTAGGGGGGAGGAGAGGAGGAGGAGGGGGAGGAGGAGGAGGAGGAGGTGGTGGAGGAGGACGAAGAGGAGGAGGAGGAGGGCGGAGGAGGAGGAAGAGAAAGAGAAGGAGGAGAAGGAGGAGAAGAGGAGGAGGAGAAGAGGAGGGGAGAGAGAGAGAGGAGGGAGGAGGAAAAAGTGGAGGAGGAGGAGGAGGGAGAGGAGGAGCAGGAGAGGAGGAGGGGGGGGGGGAAAAGGAGGAGGAGGAGGAAGAGGTGAGGAGGAGGAGGAGGTTGGAAAAGGAGGCGGAGGAGGAGAAGGAGAAGAGGAGAGGAGGGGAAGGAGGAGGAGAGGAGTAGAGGAGGAGGAGGAGGAGGGGAGGAGGAGGAGGAGGAGGCGGAGGAGGAGGGCGGAGGAGGAGGAGGGGCACGCCCGCCTTCGGAGCGGCGGCGGCCAGGATGGCGCGGCCGAGGTCGGCGCAGCCGCCGATCTCGCCGCCAGCCCCCTCGGCGGCGGCCCGGCGGGCGGCCTCGCGAGCGGCGGCGCCGCCGCCGCGGACGTCGCCGTCGACGTCGCCGTCGTCGTCGCCGTCGTCGTCGTCGTCGTCGAGGTCGCGGGCGGCCTCGCGAGCGAGGCCGCCGCCGTGAATCCGCGGGGGGCCGCCGCGCCGTACGAAGCCCGCCGCGCCGAGAACACCGAGTACGGCGCGGCTGCCTGCCGGGTCCTGCGCCGTCGAGCCAGGGCGCGGGCTGCCCCCATCCCGCCGACCCCTCCTGCTGTTCCTCGTCCTGATCGTCGTCCTGTTCCTCCTCCTCCTCCTCCTCCTCCTCCGCCTCCTCCTCCTCCTCCACATCGTCTGCCACCCCCTCCTTCAGCTCCTCCTCCTCCTCCTCCTCCTCCTCCTCCTCCTCCTCATGCTCCTCCTCCTCCTCCTCCTGCTGGTCCTCCCCCTGCTGCTGCTCCTCCTCCTCCTCCTTCTCCTCCTCCTCCTCCTCATCTCCTCCATTCCTTTTCCTTATGAATAACTTCTTCCTGTCGAACCCCGAGGCCAATGTTGAGGGTGGGCCGGGCGTTTCGCCTGAGACATTCTCACCATCTATAATTCTGAAATTTGAAAATGGCACAGTTTCACAGATGGAGGGCGGGTGGTTTTCAAAATGTGCCTCTTGCCTTAGCGCGGCGCACATTCACTTTGGACATGTACCAGAGTTTCACGGATTGAGGGCGGGTCGTTTTCAAAATGTGGCTCTCGCCTGAGCGCCGCGCACACTCGTTTAAAACATATGAGAGAGTTTCACAGTGTGGGGGCGGGTCGCTTTCAAAATGTGGCTCTCGCCTTAGCGCCGCGCGAATTCGTTTTACACATGTGCAAGAGCTTCACGGATTGAGGGCGGGTGGTTTGCAAAGTGTGGCTCTCGCCTTAGCGCTGCGCACATTCGTTAAAACAACTCTGCAAGAGCTTCACGGATTGAGGGCGGGTCGTTTTCAAAATGTGGCTCTCGCCTTAGCGCCGCGCACATTCGTTTCAAACATTTGCTAGAGTTTCTCGGATTCCCATGATCAGCGTACCAGAAAGTTGCGTGCTGGAACGATTCAAGACTATGCGGGTGCAACACTTATGTTTGTTCGCGGTGTTGAAGTCCCAAAAATGGGGTTCTGGCAAAATTCTGGACCGTCAAGACGCAGCAGTCAGTTTGATCCCTGGCGTTGGAATCCCGAGAACAACGTTTTGGCATGCTTCAGGGTCTTCAAGTGTGTCTTCCAACGAGGCAGTTTACTCAATGGGAATGAGCCGTCGTCGGGGCCTATGAAGAGGCAGCTTGGAGGGAGGTCCATTCCAACATCGTTGATGACTCTTTAGATTGCACTGGTCCTCCTCCTCCTCCTCCTCCTCCGCCCTCCTCGTCCACGTCATCCTCCGCCCTCCTCCTCCTCCTCCTCCTTCTCCTCCTCTGCCTCCTCCTCCTCCGCCTCCTTCTCCTCCGCCTCCGAGAGCCCGGGCTCTGTCGTGTGGGTGCATTTCCCTAGAAGGACAGACATCGGCATGGACATAAACTGACGGACGTAGGCGCGGATCCCTTGTGTCGGCACTGGGCCCGATTAGTGCACACTCTCCCTGTCGCGCACAGCGCGCTGGGGGGGGGGAGACGGAGGCGCCGCCAGGGGTGCGGGGGGGAGGTGCAGCGCAGACGATTGTGAGGGGAGGAGGAGGAGGAGGAGGAGGAGGAGGAGGAAGAGGAGGAGGAGGAGGAGAGGAGGAGGACAGGAGGGGAGGAGAAGAGGAGTGGAGGAGGAAGAGGAGGAGGAGGAGGAAGGAGGAGGAGGAGGAGGAGGAGGCGGAGGAGGAGGGAGGAGGAGGAGGAGGGGGGCGAAGGCGGAGGAGGAGGAGGAGAGAAGGAGGAGGAGGAGAGGAGGAGGCGGAGGGAGGAGGGAGAAGGCGGAAGAGGAGGAGGGAAGAAGGAGGAGGAGGGCGGAGGAGGAGGAGGAGGGCGGAGGAGGAGGCGGAGGAGGAGGGAGAGGAGGGGGAAGGGGGGGAGGAGGAGGAGTGGGAGGAGGAAGGGGAGGAAAAGGGGAGGAGGAGGGGGAGGAGGAGGAGGAGGAGGAGGAGGAGGAGGAGGAGGAGGAGGGAGAGGAGGAGAGGAGGGAGGGGAGGAGGAGGAGGAGGAGGAGGAGGAGGAGGAGGAGGAGGAGGAGGAGGGAGGAGGAGGAGGAGGAGGAGGAGGAGGAGGAGGAGGAGGAGGAGGAGGAGAGGGAGGAGGGAGGAGGAGCGGAGGAGGAGGAGGAGGAGGAGGAGGAGGAGGAGGAGGAGGGAGGAACGAGGAGGAGGAGGAAAAGGAGGAGGAGGAGGAGGAGGAGGGAGGGGGGCTGGAGAGAGGGGGGAGGTAGGAGGACGCAGCGAAGAGGAGGGAAGACAAAGGCAGCTGGGAGGAGAAAGGAACGGAGGAGGGAGGTTCCCATCCCTCTTCCTCTCTCTCTCTCTCTTCCTTTTGTTTGTTTTCTCTCTCTCTCTTTCTCCCCGTCGCTTTCCCATCCGCCGCCCAGCGTTCCTGCGCTCTGCGCCGGAAGGGCGGGCGGGCCTGACGCGGGGGCGAACCCCCCGCACCACAATGACCCCTTGTCCCACCCTGCTACTTTTTCCAAGCTCGGCGGTCGCCGTAGTGCAATAGAGAGCGTGGCAGAACTTCTACCACGAGCGCTTGCAGCCTTTTCCTAAAATCACTGTTTGATTACGTATTGATCGACTGTTTTGGATCGTACGTTAGGCTGCAGGCGCCGCCCTGGGGGCCTGTGAGCGGCCTCTCTGCTGCTGCCCACTGGTGGAGCAGCTTGAGTGAAATGGCAGCGGAGACGATGAGACGATAGGGTGACAGCCTAAAGCGAAAATTTGCCGCAACGGCGGTGCCGGCCGACGGGGCGAAAGCACAGAAGCGCGATTATCTGCACGCGGCCTCGGCGCAAAACAAAAAAACAAATCTGTCGTAACGGCGGCGCCGGCGTCTGTGCATGCCAGAGGTTATAGGCATGCCTGCGCGAAGATTAAGTTTGATTTGATGTTCCCACCTACCTACCCCAAACGAGACCAGCCATGATCTTAGAAAATATGCTGCCACTGCCTGATCATTGCGCCAGGTTCGGCCGTGACCTTTTCCACGACACTCTGTACCCAAGGCGTTTCTGGAAAATGCTCCTGTCGTTGCATCCCCAGCGGTCCCAAACCTCATGCATACGGTCAGCAATTCTAGCTCGGAACAGTAAGGGGTGGAAAGGGAGAACAAGCCACACTTTGCCACCGCGATCCTCGGGCTCGCGTTTTCGGGAGCGGGGCAAAATGCTATACCGAGGGGGCGCAGGCTCGGGGATACCGAACTCACGGAACATACGCGTCTTATGGTGTACAGCTTCATGGAAACTACGTGCAGTACTGGATCTTCTTCGCAGCCGGTCCAGCTCGGCTCCAGGCCACGCTGCGTGCACGGCCTTGCTGTGGCTTGAGCTTGATGCCAATGGTGCTTTAATTTCGCCTGGGTTGAAATACGGTGTCCAAGATATTCTGCCGCACAACCCATGGTGCAGCATCACATCCAAGTACGGTATTTGGTCGTATGCCATTTCGCTCATTTCAACTTTGTACGCGCATGCACATACACGGCGGATGAAGGCCATTACCATGACCCAGCAAGATCTGTCTTTGCAGAGGAACAAAATGTCGTCGCGGTAGCGGCCGTAGAAAATTATAACACATTCTGCCTTTCGCTGCAACAAATCCACTTCTACGAGCTCTGCAAAGCTTACGTCGGCAATGCCGCCAGAACGCGGGAGGCCCATGCCAGCGCCCGAACATACGCGCCAGTATCGATCATGCCAAAGTTTGCTCCCAACGTACTGGTTAGTCAACATGCCGTACAATATAATTTTATGGATGCTGCGTGGGTGCCAAACTTTCTCGCACACACGTTTGCACATTTGCTCGTGCTCCCCGTTCACATAAAAATCCTTTTATGCCGCAGCTGGCCAATATGCTTTTCCCATCGGTTCAAATCTGTGATAGGGCTTTGAGTATTCCGTCAGTAGAGTCATAGATACGGACGTATTCGGTACGAATGAAACTCCAGAGGCAACCGCTATAAACCCGAGCTATGTTGGAAAACGCGTGGCCACTGCACGAATGTAGAATCCTTAACCCAACTTGCCCTGGTTCGTTGTAGGTTTTGATCGCAAACTGAATTATACTGATGACGTTGCGTGCGCTTCCTGCACGCTTCCACAGTTCGACCGAAAGTTTCTTGTCGAAGCCTTCGCCCACGTGTCGAATCATTGGTCTGCGCACATCGTGCACCCCTTGCTCATTGACCCGACCGACTTCCGAATAGCACTGTTTAGCCATCGCGTCGTCTACCAGTACACGGAGCGAGCTTTCGGGGACAAGGCAAACTCCTCGATGCTTGTCTGTTGGTACTATCGCATACCCCGTCGTTTTGATCCAACGTAGGGCCGCATGGACCCAAGGATACACGTTTGAAAACGACCTGCTTGTCCCCCTACAACTCTTGATAGCTCTGCTGCACAAGTCTGCGACTTGAAACTTGATGGCGTTCAAACTAGATGCAACCTGGTGTGGGAGTTTGCCACCAGCCCTCGGTGGCTCAGCCTCAGTATAAGGAGTAACCTTATTCTTACCCAAATGCTTTCTCCACCACATCACAGGTTCAGAGTCCCTCTGGAACTTCCAACGCCGTTTGACTGTATGTACAAAGTCTTGCACAGCACAAGAGACGGGTTCTTGACTAGGTTCGCTTCCACCACAAAAGATGTGCTTCCTTGAGAAGCAAGTGAGACACAGTACGACCGGCCAAAAGATTTGCGCGGCCCGCGCCGTTACGACGGAACGGCTGTCCAAATCCAACAAGTATAATTGGCCCAACAGTTTATCTTAAGCCCAAAGTTTGTGGAGAATCCAAGTTTCACTGTTTCCAAGCATGCTCCAACACTTTTGTTCGATCTGATGTTTG